AGAGACAGAGACAGAGACAGAGACAGAGACAGAGACAGAGACAGAGAGGAAAAAAGGAAGGAAGAGCTTAAAAAAGACGTGACTTATCCCAACCGAACTGAATGAAACTAAATTAGACCTACGTAAACAAATACAAAGTCATAAACAAACGATCAATATAAATCAATATTTACTCTTACGCTAATTAAAATGAAATTGCAGGACTCTAGTCAGGGATGTCAGCTTAGTGAGAAACTAGTGCTGTCAGGTCTTGACAAGAAGATCCAAAGCGCTGCCAACTCGACTGTATTTACAATACTTAATAAGCTATCATGTCGAATTCTTTCAACTCTGATTTTATGAGTAAAAATAAATGGTTTCCGACAGCTATTTCAAAGAGATATACCAACTTATGAAAAACCCATGGACGACATTCTAGACGTAGAGAACTAAAAGGGCTGTAGACTACATCATTCCTTAGTTGAAAATATAACAACACACATATGGATTATATATAGATAAAGATATCCATAGTTTAAAGAACTTCGTCTTTTTGACACAATATAGATAATATATAGATAAAGATATTCATGGGCAAGTATGGTTTTATTTCAAACAATTATTTTTGGTTTTAATTAGCGCGCCCCCATAATGAAGGAATCCGATACAACAGTTGTCTTTTTGATGTCATCCAACATGGCTCCCACGAGACCTACGATTTTTAGTGAGATATGGGGACTTCAAAACTAAACGAAATGGCTGTAATCATATCTTTTTGATTTATTGACCGCTAATGATTACCGCTCTCACCCACTGACCAACGTCCCTAAAATCATCCCAGAGATTTTACGTGAACCATTGTTAATTAAAGCTATATGTATCTATCAATAGAACGACATTAGACGAATAGACAAATGCTTATTCATTGCTAAAACTTCCAGCCATGGAGATAATCAAATCAGTAATCGATCAAATTAAGTTTCCTTTATTTTATATTAATTTTTCAGCCACCTAAATTAATGACGGCAATATAAGACAAACGTATGTATGGAGCTTTCAACGTGGCTAGAGCTTTCTAATAGTGTTTTTTGTTTACGGTTGTTCCTGTTAGTTCATGTAGCTTGGCATCTCGCCAATCAGAACTGTCAAAAAGTTGAAATGATTGAAGTTGATTAGTTTTATCTTAGCTTTGAAGTTAATGGTTGGCTTTCTTTCTTTCTTTCTTTCTTTCTTTCTTTCTTTCTTTCTTTCTTTCACGGCTTTCTTTCTTTCTTT